TGGGCAACCTGGTCTAGTGGAAGGGATCCCTGCCCAAGGCAGGGGGGTTGGAACTAGATGATCTTTGAGGTCCCTTCCAACCCAAACCATTCTATGATTCTAGGATTGCCCCAGACACTACAAGAGCGGTAAGACATAAAGGATCACACAAGAATGCAGGAAACAAGATAAACCTGAGACCTGGATGAGCTCTGGATAAAACTGACTTGCAGTCTAACTCCAAACTGGCATTTGCATAGCCCTGTTCTCAATCTGCAGCTGGAAGTTTACCGTGCAAAGCACTTCATTTGCTCCTTACTCCCTTTTCTGCCTTGATGATAAAATCCTTTGCACATTTGGAAACCATAAGTTTCTTACTAATTTTTTGTAGCAACTTTTCTGACCTACAGCTTTTGTGAGCCATAAAGATTAACACGGAGAATTCATAGATCAATACTCTAGCAAAGTTTTCTGAGTCACATGAACATGTTTTGCTTTTTGAGATGTACACCAGCACAACAAGAGAGCTTGGGTGGATACACAGAAGATACACACAATGAGCAAGAATTTGCCCTGCCCTGTTTTGAAGCTGGATGTGGTCTCTAAACACTTGTTTATGCTGATTGAAAGGCATTTCCGGCAGTAACACTGAGATCTCTGAACTTTGAGATACCAACGGTCAAAATCTGACATGAAGCTAATAAACATAATAAAGAAATGGAAAATCTATTACAAAGAAGTTATAAAGGCTATTTTAATATCACTGGTTGCCCAGAAGATGGGAAAATGGGAAAAAATAAGAATATGCAGCACCCCACACTTAGAAACGAAGCCCAAAGAGGCAAGCAGATATTAGGGAAATGAAAATTGATACCCTGTAAATGATCACAGATGGCTTTTGCATTTCCCTATCCACCAGCTGTTTCTATTACTCTTTTGTGCAAAGGCACCGGAGGAAAACCAATTATGATTTAATGGAAAGAGTACTGGGCTGAAACCAAGGCACAAATCTAAGATATTTTCTTCCATGGAGAGAGATCCTTTTATCCCACCAAAGGGCAGTCCTGCCCAGGGATTACCTAAGTAGAGATTCTGAGTATACGGCTCCTGGACAGAGCCATACATGGATGAGAGACGAGGCCAGATGCTCTAATAAACAGAGATACTCACTCTTGATCCAAAAGGGACTGTCCTTTCATGGCCTCGCTGGGCTTAATGGACTTTGTGATATCAGCAACAAGAACACATGGATAGCTATTCTGGTTCAGGCAAAACACCAAAACCATCCAGGGCTCTGTCTCCATCAGCAGCCACACATAGATATGCAGGAGTGCAACAGCAGGCCAAGCGCATAGAACACTTCCTCCTAACACTACCTCACTCTCTCACCACTTTCAGGTCAGAGATTTCCTGAGTCTGCTGCGGTTTCTCTGTTTAGCAATCCTTACGAAGATTCCTCTTCCTGTGAGTAAGAAGTACTCAGGGGAAGATGAGCATCTGCAAGCTCCTCACATTCACAACCTGCTTCAACAAGGAGTTCCACAGGTCTTACATCATATGAAGACACACCTTCCAGTATGTTTTTGGTATATGGCTTCCACTAGTTTCATATGACAGTCTCTAGTTCTTTAATTGGGAAAAAAAAATGAAAAATGAATCCTTAGCTACTTGTTCTATGCCAGTCATGAGTCTGAAGACCTGGTATTGTCTCAGCAGTTATACTACAGAGGATTTAATGTCCTGAAACATTATGGTAGAAGGCTGATATGTTGCTCTAAATTTGGCCAACTGCATAGTGGATTTTAGAAGTATTACATTAGCTTTTGGGATAGATTTCATTTATTTACACACTTATTCAGGTAAGGGAGGGAAGCTATTTTCCCGCTTCAGAGTATGTCAGAAGAAATAAGCACAGCCAGTCTTAGGAAGGAAAAATGGAAGTGAATGGAGGGATATCAAGGGGGAAAGGAGATTATAAGGTGTTCAGGTGTGACACAGAAACACATCTGTCTGTATCAGGTACATACCAGGCTCACACACACACACACGCACACAGATGCATGGGCAACACGACATCTACACACACTGTTGTGAGCTGGAGGAAATGAGAAAGAGGAAAGGGCGTTCTGAAACCCAGGCAAGCCGGCTTAGTGGGCTGGCATGGTGCGTAACGGATCAAAGAGGGGCGGGAGAGAGAACGACTATCAGTGCCATATGCTTATGAGGTCTTGCTGTTCTGCTTTATACTGTCTTCATTGAATCTTCCCCTTCTGCAGGTCTCGCTTTACATACATGCACCTTTCACAGATGGTTTTCATCATCCCACCTGTAATGGCATCTGAACTAAAAGGCAGGGGAGACAACTGCACAGAGGATATGTCTGTGCGCAATGAGCTAGGAATATCTCCAGTGCTGGGCCAACATTGCTGGTCAGAGGCAGCAGTAGCCTCAGAGCCATGGAGGAGGAGAATCAAAGTGAACGTGAGCTTGTTCTGTTGCAGCAGTGGACTGCCTACAGAGCATCCTCAAACCATAAACCTGAATTGGAGTTCAACCACCACAATTCCTGTGAGGGAGGTTTTCAGGGCTGGGAATATGGGAGAAGAAGAGAAACAGAAGAATTTGCCTTGTTTCTAGGAAGAAATGCTGAGTAATTCCATGGCAATTTGTAGGAAGCTCTTGCACTCATCTTTCTAACCACAGCCACCCAGCTAAGCAAGGTGCCGAATGTGAACTCTTGCAGTCCCTTTATCCTTTTATTTCCCCTTTCTCTCTCACTGGCTGGGGATATGAACCACAGGGCCTCCCTACTTTGATGCACAGGTTGTCTCTTCTTGGTAGCAATCATCACCCCCCCCCCATTTTCTCTTTTCCTTATACTCTGCTCCAACCCAAATTTTTCAGGTTGAATTACTTCTCTCTTTTTCAAAAGACCTGCATATTCTTGATCAGGTCAGATGATATGATACAGGATAGTTTGGCACTTTGTCTCTCTGTCTTGCCTGGAAAACTCCCTGGCTGAGGGAATTCTCATTTTTAAGTTTCAAGAGACCATTCGTTTTGCTTTTGCTCCATGTGGAGTTAGCCATTCCACTCTGGCGTTAAAGATCAGGCTGGGTTTCCCCTGCTAGAACGACATGCTCTCGTGTAGCTTTAGGCAGTAGAAAGAGATTCTGTGTCTGTAATACGGTTTCTCCATTCCAGAACCAGAGCAAAACTGTAAGTCAGATACATTTCTCACAGCACAGTTTGCCCTAAACATCTCCCTGAACCTTAGTCAGTTTTTATCCCTGCTACAATATGACTTTCTTAGCGAGATACTCTGCTTCATACGAAAGCGTGCAACAGGGTCCAAGTATTTCCAGCGAGCCTCAGTAGCTAGCACATTAGGCTGAAGAAGTTGAGAGAGATCACCATTTACTTTTTTAACAGTTTTTTTCCTCACTTTTTACCCTTTGAAAGTAAGGGTACACAAAAAGAAAAAAGGAATGCTTGAATGCTCTTCACGCAGCAGGGGTGATATGAACTAGACTCAAAGAATACTTTTCTAAGTCCCCTCACTCCCACTTGGCCCCAGCATTTCCCAAGAGGAAAGGCTTGCAGAAAATTCTGGATGCTTCCCTGAGTTTGATTTAATTTCAAAAGTCCAGACAGCAAAAACCTGAATCAACCCTAGTTCTAGTATCCTCACCTTTCCTTTCTCCTAGCAAAATAAGCCATGTGCTGGGTACCCTTGCAATCCAGCATGCAGGTCAGGCAGTGCTGGAGGGCAAAAGCAAAGTGGAAAATAGTATTTCCTGAACTGAGCATGCTTCTCTGTCATATAGTGAGGATACACTTTTCTAGATGGAGTTCTTTTATCTTCAGCTGTTAAAGCTACACTATTAGACCAGAAGAATATAACCCATATGTGCAATGAGCCAAGGACATCTGGGATTTAACTGCAGGATGCAACACTGACTTCGTTCCTCCACTTTTGTCTTGACTGGTTCACACAAAGGTCAAGCATAGAATTTGGCTCTTATGTCTAATATTTAGTTACTACCTTTTCATGATCATCTCCAATGGGAAAATTCTTCCCACTCCTTCTGCCTCTTTGTCTTCTTCGTGCAGCCTCTGCTCTCTGCCCTGCTCCTGTTTCTTCCCTATATCTGTACATTCTTTCCGCTTCTCCTCATTTTTCCTTCCTTGAAGCACTCCCAACAGCTAAGCTTCCTTAAGATTTCAATTTTCACCTTCTTCCTTCGTTCTGTCCTTTTAAAGGATAGAAGAGTTAAGACTGATTTTTTTTGTGTTATGTGTCACCACTAGTGTCCAGAGTGAACATTTGCTACATACTGGTGGAATGAGGCCAGTTTCTGCATTATCAATTCGAGCTGCCTGCAGATTCAGATTGATATCATTGCACAGGGTTACACACATAAGCCTTTCTTTACCACCATGAGGAATTGAAATTTACTTTAAAAATAGAAAAAATATAGCTTCTGCAGAACCTTAGTATATGATTTGTGCTACCACGATATTCGGCCAAGAATTTGACCACACTACTGGAAACTATTAGCCACCTTCTAACTATCTGAAAATGCTGCTCTTAATGGCTAAATTATAAGTAGCTCTCAACTTTGTTCTGAGACCCTCTGAAGTTGGATGTTTCTAAAGCATGCCTGAAGGGTTTGAAAATCAGGTGTCTTCTAGAGCATGTCCCTGTTCTGGGAGATTTTGGAGCTGGAGAAAATCTGGAAGATCTACTGATGATGCAGCTTTTGATGGAGAAGCGGGCAAATGGCTCTTTGGGTGGGAGGAGGGCAGAAGCTGTTCAACTGGGGAATGCGCTGGGAGCACTGGAGTGGGAATGAGAGAGGGAGGAGTAGGGTGGGTGCAGGGAGTTATTGCTCTGTCTGAATGGAGCTCATTTCTTTCTGTAATTAGAGGGATGATCTCCCTCAGCCTCCTGGTACTGAGAGGCACTTCACCTTCCTGTCCCTGCTGAAGCAAGGTGCTCAACAGTAGAAACCACTTACCTGATAACTGCTGCACTGAAGGCTGGTCATGTGTGCTTAACAACTGTGCCTGAATGGTTTCTACTACCCTCTTAAAACGACGGCTTGGACCTGTGAGGAGAGAAGAGGCACAAATGGCTGTGAGAGGAGCGGGAGCCCAATCCTCACACAACCCAGGCTGGAGGGGAAGGATCGCAAGCATCTTCCCTCAGTCTTGTCCCCAAGAGTGTTCTGACTGTATCTGTCCTTCAGCCAAAGGCATGGCTTTAGGGAACTATTAGGCAGTTCCCACATTAACAAGGACTGTGGTGTGTGGGACTCAACAGGAGGAAAGATGGCTTCTGGGCTCCTTTTGTGAAGATAGAAAGGATGAGGGTTTGCTTGTTTGTTTGAACCCCTGTGAAAGGCATGCGGCCATCCAGAAGAAAAGGGTGATTGCATGTTTCTGTCAGAAGGAAGAAACCAGTAGCCTCATAGTGCCAAGCTGAGACACTGAGACCTTTGAGTGAAACAAGGAGACAGCACAGGGAGATACTTCAAATCTGATGCACAGAGCAGCCACATTAGCACTAATCATAGTGGTGGCAACTTTACATCTTTGGGAATCTCTTTCTCTCCCAGCATTTCCACCACTACCAAGACAATTTTTGTTCCCAATGTCCTCCTTGTCTCCATCTGAATTTTCACCTGAGCTCAAGGTAGTTGTATTCTTTCCCCTGGCACAGCTCTCTTTGCAGGCCTCTATAGCAGCAAGGACAAAGCCAGCTTGCACCCATTTTACAGCTTTTCCATGGTTACCTGATAAGAGTGTGAAAGTGACAGAATATATCCCGTTCTCCTTCTGTGCCTCTCCTCCTTCTGTATATGTTATGTCCACCTGGAACTTCACTGGCTTCTGGAAGACAGCGGGACCTCCTGTGGACTTATATTCTGCACGGAAACTTGTCTGTGAGATGACACTGTGACTGAGGCTTGGAATCTGAAACAGGTCAGTAGAAGGAGATAGTAGAACCAGAGCACAAAGAGAACAAAATTGCAAAATTCAATTTAGAACAATGCACATTTCCAGAGTGGATAAGACTCGCTGGATTTGCTTCCGGACTTGATTTTGTAATGTACAGAGTGTTCTGGTGAAACCAGTAAGAGCGTAGGTTGCTTGGCACCGCAAGAATGCACTGCTCCTTATAGGACTGACCTAAATTTAAAGGTTGAATATTGGTGGAATACCTGGCATGCTTAAAAATCTACATGTTGCACAACTTCATACACTTAGTCTTTCTTTTCCTACTCATCTACCAGTTTTGAGAAATGCCTTTTGCAGAGTGAAAACTGTTATTAAGGGAGGGAGCAGAAACATCAGTCGGATATAAGACCAGATATAAAAACCACCTGAGTATCCTGGTCTGATCTCATAACTGATCCTGTTTTGAGTAGAAGACCTCCTGAAGTCCTTTCCAACCTCAGTTGTTTGGTGGTTCTATCATATCAAATAGACATCAGGACATGGAGCAGACACTTAGCCCAGTGCCTGTGATATCCACAGGGAAAGCGTGCCTGCAAATAACTGACCCAAACCACAACTCCTACCCATACGTAAAAGAACTTTGAGAAGCTTTCTGGTATCATCCAATATCTGTATCTTCAGACCTGTGGTAGAATTTCACAATTGCCTAATTTTCAAGCAGTTATCTACCCTTCACAGTTCCTGCCAAAATTTAACACACTCACATTCTATTTATTGCTTCATAAAGCACCAGATTAAAAAAAACCACCAACAAATCACTTGGAAATCTGGCTTCTTAATTTAGGAGGAAAAATGAAGATGAGTTCTTTGAGAAGCTCACCTTGAGGACTTACTTAGCAGGCTGTGACAATGCATTTGAATTTGAAGTTGGCTGTAAGAGATGATTCACAGGGTTTGCACACAAATCACTGCATCGCATCTTAACCCACTCACGTGGGGTATGCACAGGATTACCAATAAATACAGTATTGGATGCTACACCACAATACAAACCCACAAGCACAGCTAAATGCATGAAACTGGTATCATAATATGGCTCCTTCAAACCAATCTGAGATGGATACCAGTGTCTGATGCATGCTACTATACTGCACTTGCTCCTTGTATGCCGGTACAGTTAAAAGGGTTATGGCTTGAGTTTTCTGAAGAAATTCATTGCAGCATCATAGAGACTAAAAAGGAGTACAGTATTCTGTGGAAAACAATATCAGTTCAACAAATGATACATGAAATTAAGTCTCCTTCTCTTAATTCTATTGAAAAAAAGTCTAATTATGTTGTCAACTACCGTGAACTGAAAAATCTCTCAAATTAACTTTACTATGCTGACTACTATTCTGATAGTGAGAATAGGGACTTTCTATAGGAAAAAATGACAATTTCCCTCTGCTTTCCTAGATTGTAAATAAACTGCATCTGCAACAACTGATACTCTGGTCAACAGAGGAAATTACCCTTCTTTCTGCCATACGGCATTGAAGAGGAGATTTGAAGTAACAAATGCAGATGTGAGATAGGATTTTTGTCTGACCAAAGTGGTGGGGAGTGTACGCAGCAGAGGGAGACCCAATCTGAAGCCCAGATGGTGACTGTAAGCAGCAAATCACTGTCTTGATACCGCACCAGCAGTGTGCTTTAACTGTAGTGATATTTCAAGTACTGGCAACCTGGAGACCCTGCCAAGAAGGCTGAAATCTTTTCTCACCCTAAAGAGTATTATCTACAGTTAGAAATTCAGACAGAGTCCAGTGGAGGCCTGAATCAACAGGCCATGTAAATTAAATCCACGGAGAATGCATTTGAAGGAGCAGAGAACCTGACCAGTAACATCTGGCACAACGAATTGTGGAGCTGACGAGTGAGCAATGCCTCCAAGAGGCAGCTGGGGTGACTTACCGAGAGGAAAGCATGGACAATATCAGCCTTAATGGAGCTTAGTGGTTTGTCCTTAATGACCACAAAAATCTGTTCTTCTTTTTCCAGGTTGATGAAGTTACCAAACCAGGATTTTTTGGCAAGCCTGACGTGATGAAAAGAAAGAGATGGCTTAGAATATTGAGCACTATTTCTCACATACCCCAGCTAGAAAAAAATATTTAAAAACACACAAGGAAGTTTTGATAACACTCCAGATGTGATACTATTACTAATACTAATTGGCAAACGGTGTCAGAGAATATCCAGAAGAACATTTCACTTAGTGAAAACTGTAAAAATGAGGGACCAGACAGTGCTAGTCTGGCAGCATGTGTGAACAACAATGAAAAATCAGGAGCAATGGTAACTCTTTTGACTGAGTCAACACACCAATTAATACTGCATATGTAAAACACATATAAGCCAGGGGACACATTTCTGGTTTGTCTCCAGGGATGTCTCCATTTCTTGTGACAATATGCAGATGCTGGTAACACAAAAGTTCAAGTTCCTTCCCACTCAATTTCAACCCCTTTGGTGTTCTAGAACTTGCAAAGTTCCTTTTCTGAAGGTGTCCTGTTACAATCACAAGATCTTGCTTTTTAAAGCAAGCTGTAGGTTTCACTGGACCTCCTATCTGTCAGTGAGTGAAGTCCACTTCTACACAGAGGGCCAGGACAAAGACTGTCCCGTTTGTTAGTCCCATTAAGGGTGTTTCTATGAGTGAACTCTGGCCATCCTACAAAGGAATCAATTTTCAGTACTAAGAAGATATCAATGCCATGCAAAACACAGTTCAGGCTTTCCGCTGGCAGCAGCCCAACTTTGAAGCTCCTTTCAGCATCAGATGGTGGTTTCATCATAAAATGAAATTGCTCTGCTTTTTCACACTGATAGTATCAGCAAATGTTTGATTTTGTTTATTGTTTCACCATCTGAATGCACTTTGTTGACATTCCCTTTTAAGTTAAACAGGCTAAAGGAAAAATGCAAGGACATGAATGTTATTGAGGGACACTATACAGAACCTGAAGGTAGCACCTCTAACAGGTGTGGTTTTGAGGGGAGAGAAGATGCTGTCAGCAATGAGATACAGCCAAAGAATTGCTGGACCAACCTAAACCCAGGGAAAATTCCACTGAAATCAGCCATATTCTAGTAGGGGAAAATTTAGCCTGAAAATGTCAGAAATGAAAAGAGCTGCCACCAAGAAGCTGTGTTTTTTTTCCCTCCACAGCGTGCTTTATAATGCTGTGACAAGTCCAGCTCGCAGCATGGCAAGCGATAGACTTTCACTTCTTCTGGTGAACATTCACCACTCAATGGAAGAAGATAACCTCTCCAGACAAGGAGAACCATCTGCAAAAAGGATTACTATCTATCAGCTTTCCAGCAAAGCAATAAACAGCTGGAGAGAGTTATTAGTAGATTCACTTTCCGCAGCAAAGACTCAGATTGAGGCAGAATGAGGAAGGGCAGAGACTAGGAGAGAGAGGAACAAACTAGGAAACTAATTTGAAGTCTAGACCTTCGGGATGAAGAACAAAGCTTGACCTCAGCAGCGTCCAGCAATTTGCACTCAATCCCCATCCCAGAGTGCTCCATGAATCACGTAACTGTCGTCTCACTGCCCATTTAATGCACACAGTAGCAAGATCACAACTGGAAGACAGTTCAGCTGCGCAAATAATCATTTGCTTCTACTTACTGCAGGCAACCAAAAATAAGAGTACAGAAAGATTCATTTGCAATTTGGTAAACTACTGCCCCTCCCCCCCCCTCAATTAAAGTGGGCTGGAAAACTGTCACTCCCTAAAATATTCATCGGCAGCTGTAACTAAGCCAGTGAGCCAGAGATTAGCACAGGGATCAGTAAAGAGAAAGGGCCTCTCATTTAAACGGGTCGTTAAGGAGCCGGGGTTAGAGTGTGAAAGGAAATTACATACTAATTAGCTCATGTGTCTCACACACACCATAACACCTCGGCAAGCCCCTGGAGAGCTGGGCCAATAGCTCCCTGCACGTGAAGGGTCTGTGCTTATTAGCAAATTAGCACCTGGCTATCCATCCAAAGCGCTGGCTGTCTTGGGCTTGTACGTATCACAATCCGAACCGGGGCCGGCTGTACGGGCTCCAGGGGCCCCCTGTATGTCACGCGTGGAAGGTGGGCCTGGAAAAGTGTGCGTATTTAATTGCAGGTCTGCCATGTTAAAATATGGCTTTTAATTTTTGTATTTTCTTTAATGGTTTTGTGGGCCCTTCATTTATAGGTCTCTTAACAAGCATAGGTTAAAAAAGCCCCAGAAAACAGGGAGGTGTTCTCCTGTTCAGCTTGGAAACTTGGTCTACAGTCTCCAGAGTCCAGCTGGGCTCTTCTCTTTGCAAGGTTATCACCAGTAATACTGACTCTGGAAGATTCACTGATAGCCTGGGCTGTGCTCCAGCTTGTAAATCACTGGAATTCACCAAATAATTTTGCTGGTGTCGCATAAGAGGGAATAGATGTCAGTGGCCTCTCCTGTTTCTGGAATGAACAGAATCAAGACTTAGCACACACGCCCTGGCTTTTCTCCCTGAAATGGGCAGAACTAGCTATGCTCACACACGCAGGGAATAGGCCCACTGAAGAAGAGGGGTCTGCTTTGGAGTAAAATGACACAATAAAGGTTCCTCTCCTCTTAGAGGGTGTTCAGTGCTACCAACTTGGGCTAAAATGGGTATGAATCAAGGGTCCTCAGCACTCTGAATGAGATGCTTCTAGCATCTCACAAGATCAGGCTGTAAGCAGTAAATAATACACTTAAAATTAACAATCTTCTCTTGTCACGGCAAACCTCGTAAAGGGGAGGGAGATAGGAGATGTGTGTGGGAGGCTAGGCATGTAGATTACTCTAGGGAATCTAATCAGGTGTCCAGCTGATGAAAAAGCAAATAGATTAGCATGAAAATGGAGGCTGGTGCTTTATTACTTCACACTGATTTTCTCACTGCTGTAATGCTGTTCCTTTTTCTACTTTTGGAGTGTCTGACTGCATTGCCTTCTGGAGAGCCTCACTGTCTTCCCTCTCTGTCCCTGAGTGCACGGATCTGCAACCTTCAGAGGTTTACCTGCTTGGCATAAATAACAGCATTTCTACTCAAGCACATGCAGCTTTGCAGGTTTAAAGCAGCTGGAGCTATGTCTCTTTAAATGTCATCCCTAACACATTTTCTGGGACTTTTTCATAAGAGAAAGAATAGCATTACCCTGACATGTCAAAGTGTATTACCTAATCATCAGATTTGTTAAATGAATGGCAGTCATTAAAGAATGCTGTACCAGAGCAAGAACATGTATTTTTATCCCTCAACCCATGAGGTCAATATAGCTCTTGGTAAGCATATCTTATTTCTTACAGAAAGGAAGAAAATACCAGAAAAAATAAGACATGTGGAAGTGGGCACTGAGCAACAAGACATCTATCGTTAAAACATAATCCAGTTCATTATTTTTTACGACTTTTATTATGTTTACTGCAGGGTGCAGCCCAATTGAACTCATTAATTTGGCAATTATACAGAAAAAGAAAACAGGGCCTTAGGCTTTGACTTGCATCCAAACTGCCTCAAATGACAGGCATTACTTCTCTATACCAGCTTTTAAAGAGTGAGTGGGAAGCAGAGAAGGCAATAAATTAACAGGAAAACTTCCACCAACATACATGCATGAAGAGAAGAGGAGAAATTTCATTCTGAAGGTTTTCTGGTTTAATGGCCTTAAAAACATTTGAGATGAGAATATCATGTATTTCTTTGATAAGAGTGCATTCATTTTACGAAATTCTCTCATGCCCCTCTATTAGCAAATGCTCCAAAGTGTTGAAAACACAATTTATTCCATTTTTCTTCCTGGATTTCTTTTACTAACCTTTATTATTCCCCACTTCTGCATCTCCTGAAGTCTTTATCCCTCTCCATTCTGCAGCATTAGATATAGAGTGCCCATCTTATACTAGATAAATGCCAGGTCTGAGGAAAGTTTTTAAGGCAATACCATTGTCACCAATTACAAAACTTTGGGCCCCAAATTTCCATCTATGACTCATGAATATTTCACACAAGTATCTTGACAAAAGACCAAATTGCCTTGGTTGGCAGGGTAAGTCTACGGGCATTGGGTGCACAAACACAAGCTGTGAAAATAAAAAGGAATAATTTGGCATCTGTTGCATATATTAGGAAGTGTTTGGAGCAGCACTCTCTGGCAGGGACTTCCAAACCTGCCATGCAGTGACGCACATTTATGCAGTGAAATGGTCGAAATGTACACTGACTTTTAGGAATGAGACTGGTGAATATGAAACAGCTTCTGCATGTTCCAGCACTGCTGCTCAGAATTAACACTGCATTTACTATCGCAGCCAAAGATTCCTCTGAATTATCTTAGCAGAGGCTTCTGCATGTTATCCTGAGGATGCAAATTCTCCTGTACTAAGAGGAAGACTTTTTAGTGCATAGTTGGTGCCAGTATAAGCCATTCATCATCCTCTCCACTCCCCAAGAGTGATCTGCTTGACAACCAAATGAAAGAAGAGAGAAGGAACGTTACCAACCTAGTAAATTCAGCAAGCCATGAGAAAATCGAGAAGTGGGCCCACGTGAACCTCATGAGGTTCAACAAGGCCAAGTGCAAGGTCCTGTGCCTGTGTCAGGACAACCTCCAGTATCAGTACAGGCTGGGGATGAAAGGATTGAGAGCAGCCCTGAGGAAAAGGTCTTGGGAGTACTGGTGGATGAAAAGCTGGACATGAGCCAGCAATGTGCACTCGCAGCCCAGAAAGCCAACTGTATTCTGGGCTGCATTGAAAGAAGCATGGACAGCAGGTCGAGGGAGGTGATTCTGCCCCTCTACTCCACTCTGGTGGGACTCCACCCAGAGTTCTGCAGTCAGCTCTGGAGTCCTCAGTACAGGGAAGACACAGATCTGCTGGAGCAGGTCCAGAGGAGGGCCACAAGAATGATCAGAGGGCTGGAGCACCTCTCCTGTGAAGACAGGCTGAGAGAGTTGAGATTGTTCATCCTGGAGAAGAGAAGGCTCCACAGAGACCTTATTGAGGCCTTTCAGTACTTAAAGGGGGCCTACAAGAAAGATGGGGACAGACTTTTTAGAAGGGCCTGCTGCAATAGGACAGGGGGTAATGGTTTTAAACTAAAAGAAGGTAGATTCAGACCAGATATAAGGAAGATACTTTTTATGATGAGCATGGTGAAACACTGGAAGAGGTTGCCCAGAGAGGTGGTAGATGCCCCATCCCTGGAATCCTTCAAAGTCAGGTTGGATGGGGCTTTAAGTGACCTGATCTTGTTGAAGATGTCCCTGCTTATTGCAGGGGGTTGGACTAGATGACCTTTAAAGATCCCTTCCAACCCAAATTATTCTATGATTCTAAAATGAGGTTGTTTCCGGGAGACTGTTTCATCACCTGCTGACCCCACTGCCGTGGCTGAGGTATAGATTTTAGCCAGGGTCCTTAGCAGAAGAACTATTTCACATCTCTATCCCACTCACAGGATTACAGGTTAGAGTCAGACACTGATTCAGAACAGGAATATGTCACCCTATGACATTCAGGCAAGGAAATGACATTCGTATGTAGTGGAAAAAAAGTAGCGTACTGGTAAATTACTTACTCTGGGGATGATTCCGGGGTTAAATTAGACATCTCCTCTGGTGTAGGTACTGCCCGTGCACACACAGCCAAAGAGAGGGAGGGAGAAAAGAAATTGATGATTCAGTACACCTTCCATTTTCTGCTTGTACACCAATGAAACAATTCTGGCGTTACAACCTCTTGCATTTGCCCACTGCCTCTGTGGACTAGTTCTGACACTTGAACACTGGTTATGTGTCTCTAGATCACTATATCTAATCAAGTGCTGCATTTCCAAGGCTCACCTTACCCTTCCTTAAATCATTATGTAATCTTGCTTCAACGGTTTCTGGTTCAGACCCAAACACCATGCCTACTCAATTGCTTTACAATTGCTTCAAAGCCCAGTTAGATGCAGCTCAGTCAATGCTGCAGTTCTCTGCAGTTCTCTGACCATCTCAGAGACAATGTCTCTGACCATCCCCATTCAAATTCTAACTCTTCCATGGCTGTAATCCTCCTTTCCCATGAGATCACATCCCAGTACCCTGTAAAACCACAGAGTGTTGGGATAGCTGCTGATGACACCTGAGGATAATGCATGTGATTTTGGGTGCCCTTTCCCTGAATACAAAAAGCCACCTGGAGCTTGAAGAAGAAAACCTTGCACATCTCAACAATCTAGAGACTCTGAAAACTGAAACAGGCCAGCAGATATGACACCACCGATTGTATTAAGGAGATTTTTACCCCAAATACCAAAGGAGGTAAAAAAAGCATTAACCAAGATCAAACAAGCTGTGCTTCAGAAGGACAATTTCAGCCTATTGCCACTGGCTATCTTTTTCAGCAGAAGGCTCAGCCTGTGGCTACAGAAAGGCAGTGGAGTATAGCCATAGGGGAAATGGCAGAGCTCTAGGTTCCCTGACAGGAGTGGAAAAGTTGAAGATAAAATTTTCTTGTGTTCTAAGAGTCACAACAGGGCTAGTAAGAGCTGTATGGCTAGGGTGTGAAGAGGGCTTCGGAGATGCTGCTCACATGAGTCTTGAGTTAGGGCTGACTGATGCTATCACTCTCATTTTCAGTACCAATATTAAGTCCTCAGTATGTGAAATCTGCAGAGCCACAGAGAGGTATCAACTTGCTGCTGAATGTCTGCCCAAATCGGAACCACCCTATACGTCTGGGTGAGTACTCACCTTGTAATTTCCGGCGATGGAAGCGAGGAGACCCCAGGAAACTATTCTTGATTGAGTTGAGCCGTGTCCTCCATGGCATTCCTCCAATACTCGGGCTGGATGGTGGTGTTGGGTTGGGTGTGCCTGCTGGGCTCTCCTTTGGCGTATGGACAGGTGTCCCCTTGGGGGTAGGGAGGGGACTTCCCCTTGGAGAGGGGTGAGGGGTGACCTGTATGATGGGGATAGATTTGGTGCTTGGGTCAGTACTAGAAGGGAGCAATCTAACAGGAGACATAGGGTTGGTCTGCACTTTAGGAACAGCCAGCTGTGGGTTAAAGACAGCAGCAGGCGAGCGGCCCTGAGCATTCTGCACAGGGGTGTTCTGGGAAGAGGGGACGCTGGTATTGCTGGTAGGGAGTGGGTTGGATTTAGTAGACTGGAGTGGTTTTTCGGCCAATTTGCTCTTGGATGGCAAAGTCTGCGTCTTTGGGTTGGGCTGAAGTGCTGGCTTTGGTTGGAGTACATGTCCAGGCCTGGAGGCGTTCCTACAAGCATCAGGGTCCAAGGAGACTTGGGGTCGGGGAGAGAAAGGGAGGTCGGAGGTCTGAGGGGGGATGAAGAACTTTCTGATAGGCTACAAGACAGACGCAGAGTGTCCATGCACATCAAAAACAGTGAAATACGCATAGAGCGGGCGAGCAGAGAAAGGAAAGTCAGAATAAAATCCATCCGAGTCACAAAGATGCACCATGTCACAAGGAGACGTAAGAGATGGAGGTGAAGGGGTAGTGGGGGGAGGGATTTTGCAAAGAAACAAAAACGAACAAACAAACAAAAAACAAAAAAAAAGACATGCAGTTAGCTGGGAACACAGCATAATCAACAACAGCAGCAGCGGCAGCAGCAAGAACAACAGTGTCATAACAGGCTTCATCATATTAACCAACCATGTGTCAGCAAAGGAAAACAACAGAAAGAAAAGTAAAACAAAGGAGAAGTAAAAAAAAAATATAATAAAATGAAAGAAAGTAACCAAGAAAAAAGAAGAGAGAAATGCCATCTCTCTGGGATTGTTCTGATTGCCCTGCAGTGAGAGAAGCACGATGCTGTAGGGAGGTGAGGAAGGGGAAGAAGAACCACTCAAGCCACAGACAAATTGAGATGTGCCAAGAATGGGACCACCTCTTTCAGCTCTAAGTGCCCATATGCAAACCCAGCAGAGAGATGAAACTCAAAACAGGTGTGTGATACACACGGAGTGGTAGGCGATACACATGGGTTACTGCACACACCAGTCAGAACCTCTTTCCTTCCTCTTTACCCCTGACTCTGACTAACGCACACCCTGGTTGCAGCCACCCATTGCAGAAAGAGGGGGAAAAGGGAGAGCGATGCCACGTGGGCATCCACTCTCCTCGCCCTGCCTGGAAGGTTAAACCACTCAGCATTCACTTGGAGGCTTCCAAGAACACACCACCACAAGAAAAATATGAACTCAGGTTGGTGTTTGATTTGTAAACAGCTACAGCAAAAACTTCAGAGAGGCCTGGCAAACTTGTTTATTTGGGAAGAGATGATACTTCCCATCAGACTTTATGCTTCTCCTGCAACTTCCCTCATCATGTTGAAGGACAGTTTGATAATTGGAATTTCTGTCATAAAGTCACAGCAATATTTGCCACTAAGTCCCAGTTCTGTGGAGGGGGTGGGGTAAGCCATTGTTTTGTAAGACACAGTTTAAAAAGAAAAAGACAAGCAAAGTTCATAATCCATCAAAATGGGATTATGATTTTTTTTCCCCAAACAAGAACATTTACACGTTAGGGGCATTTTGGGAAACCATTCATATGCCGACAGCAAACAGCAACACACAGACTTGGGAGGATAGAAGCCTTTTAAAGGGATATTAGCAAGCTAAAATCACAATTAAAACAAAATGAATGTCCTTACAAAACATTGCTGTTAACACCTTAGATTACAAGTACTGGCAGAATTATAAAAATAGAAATCACTAATCAAGATCTTTAGCTTTGGTCTGCACTCAGATTCCGATTTCTATAAATTATTACCTATTATAAATTATTTATCACCATTATTATTATTATCCATCCTTAACACCTAAAAGCTGTAATCAAGCACCGTCCATACATACCTTGTACACGTAGCCATGCCTCAAACCTCAGTCCCAGGTAAGCACACTCACTAGTGACTTTACTTTCTGGGTTTGATGAATTAGCACAATATTGCCAAATTTTAAAAACGCAGAAATGTACTTAAGACTTAATTCCTAAAACTGTTTGCATCAAAGTTTTGTAATTACTTTGAAGAACTTAGGGTTAGGCCATCAAAATTAAAGGACAATCTCTACATCAAAACATTTATATTATTATTAGGATTGTAAAGTTAAACTAAGGTCTGCCATGCTGGTAAATTCTGATCACCCATGAGAAAGGAAGGGGAAAAGATAAGGAAAGTGGTTAATTTATGGAAGTCACTATCGGCACCTGATTATTAACCACTTGCAAATGACACCAATGGACAAAAGTCAATGACTGTTGATTGCAAACGTTTCCTTGCAATTTTTGTATTTTATGTGTATGATGGTTTGAGAAACAAATTTGAAAGACAAAGTCAAATGCAACTCCCACTTAAGCCATTAAGAACCTGAAGGGACAATTTTAATTGCTGCATTTTTCATAGTGAAATAAAGAAAAAATTAGGTCTGTATTTCAGCTGGTGCAATGGGGAACACCTTTAGCAAGATCTTGTGAGATTTAAGAATTCTTTAGTTGCTGTCGAATCCAGTTCCTCATAGAACTGAACCTAAGCAGAGCATATAGTGAAATGTGTATTTGCTTTTTAAAGTATGATCTCTTTCAAGAATCTAAAGTGTTATTAGAAGCATAGGTAAGGATGTTTAAAAAATATATGATTTTTATTTCAACATTTCCTTTTAAGTCTCAAATTTGACCTGCCTTAATATCATTATGATCTGCTGAAAATGCCATCTGGTTGCTAAATCCCTTTGAAGACTACTTAATCAACTGCCTATTAAGTAATAATGGTAAGATATAGCAACTATAGAACAGATCTTGTCATCCTTATTCTTTGATGTAGTCCTACTGAGATGTCAGAAATGGATCCCAAGAGATCAATTAAAGAGATCAAGATTTAGGTTTATCACACTGGATGCTTATTTTGTGCACAGAACTGTTTCCATGCTCTTCTTCAGTACATTGTGCAGTGGCATAAGATTTCTCAGACCTCTGCTTCAATCCACTGACATCCAGGAGTCCTAGTGCAGAAACAAGGAAATGGATCTCCACTGGTTCCTGGCATGTTAAATAGGCAGTGGAGACCGCAAACACATTTATGCCAGTTGCAAAACAGGGTAACAATTGATAGGAACCAGGAATATGTTTCAGAAAATAGTTCAATCAAGGAAGGAATTGGAAGCTTTACTAGCCTATAAACTTAAACTCAATAGTGTGTCTTTATGTATAAGAATTACATACAATGTTACTGGGGGTCTACAATTTTAAATACTTGGAATACTGATATTATCTTCATATATCTAAGAGTAGATCCACAGGTGTATCCATACCCTAACACATGGAATATATCCATTTCCAATGGAGGATGGCATCTTCTCCTGAAGTCATGAAAAGTGTGTAGAAATCCTCCAAAGATTCTGGGCCAGACAATTAGGTAACATGGATTGCCATAGCCCTGCAGACTTCTTGATGAGGTCTAGATTTTTGTAAGGACTGCAGACTTGGAGTGACTAAGCTGACTTTGTCAGACACTAGGAATACTCATTCTCATCCCTAAAGAAGTTATCAAGGAGAGGGAGGCCTCTGTCATTGCACTTAGAAAATATAATAACTTTGCAACAGATGTACTATCAAGCATGTTTTGTACCAGCTAACTATCATTATTAGTTGAGTATTGGTATTTAGTTGACTGTATATTGAATAAAGGCATTTGAATGTACCTTATTTATAGAGGTTTGAGCGTTCTTTTCTCGTCTTAATTAGTCAACTTACTTTTTAAATTTGCTAGCCCTCAAATTAGTATGATTTATTTTCTCTGACTTTCTAATAAAAGCTATTCCGAGGCAAACAGAATCAAGCTGGTTGTAATCAGCATGGCTTCGTGCTCTACTGTGACCTGATGAAGGTAGCTGTGAAATGGTTCCTGATATTTGGTCTGAAACCATGCCGTATACAAACCTCAGCCAGGTATGGCAGTCTTTAGTCAAAGCAACGTTATTCTATGTGCTTATGAGACTGGAAAAGGGCAGAGGCATAGTGAGATCCCTGCTAACAGTGCAGGGAACATGTATGATGAATTCTCTGCTTGCATTTGTAAATAACGTTTCCCTCACCGCCCATGGAAATCTACAAGCTGCCAAGGAAAAACGAAACATCCCAGCTAAGAGCCACAGCTCTGCAGCAACAGATGTCACAAAGCATCAAGCATGTGTGAGTGAACTGGACCAACAGATCTTGAAGCAGCACCACTTACCCTTGGACTGCTGAGAGGACTGGTGGAGAGCCCAGACGACGCTCCGCTGATTGATCGAGACCTGAATGGACACAACAAGGAAAACAGCCCTCAGAAAACTTAGACAAAAAATAACCCTGAACACCAGCCACCACAGGCACAGGCATGAAGTGAGGAGGAAGAGAGAGGCTGTCACTGGAAAAGCACATGACTCTTTCCTTTCACTACTGTCACATTTTTCAGTTGTCCCACCCTCAAAACAAAGAAATGCCGTTGCTCAGGAAGGATACTGTAATCCCTTTTCATTAAGGGAGCTGCTATCTACTTTTTGGTCATCAAGCACATGGAAACTACTACGTCTGACCTGTGCAAGCTGAACTGCTGAATTCAAAAGGGACTGCCAAGACATTCACGTTTGTGCTCAGAATTCTCTTCTGCACAGTGCTGGTGGACATAGAAGGAGACGTTCTCTGTCACAAGCAACATGGAAAAGCACCGTGTGTACAAGGCACAAAGATGGGGACTCTTCCAGATATTAAGAAAGAAACAAGTCTCCATGACACACAATCGTTTCCTATGTGATGATTTCCCACTGAAATCAAAGCTCACATTGCCTTAACCCTTTCTGGCTTCTCACTGATGGACTGCACATCTCTGCTCTCCAGTAAGATTTCTTGCTGTTGCATTAAACAAACTTAGTCTTCTCTATAGATAACAAGTGCTGCTGTTATTGATGACTTCACTAATATCAAGATAACAGCCCAAGTGCCCTCCAAAAGAGGCCAGTCAAGGGAAAATAAACTGTCCTTCTATTTGCGGACAAGGTCACCTATACTGTAGTGCTCTTATGTTCTCCAGCAAAGGCCACCTACGAAAAATGTCGGCTGTAGACAATAAAATGCACAAATGTGCTATGCTAAATGTGCTAAAAGGGCAGAGAGGCCAAATGTACAAACATTTCAGCAGCAGACGTTTTCAGGAGGAGGGCTGCCCAGCAGGAAAAAAAACCCTCCGTGTGACTGTAAATGATTAAGCCCCAGAGGCAGCTGCTTTCTATCCTTTTTAAATAGAAAGTTGTCTTGAAGACTGAAACATCTTATAGGAGAGAACTTGGCTAGGAACCTAGCTGCTTAACAACCACCATGCAACATGTCAATATAGCAAACCTACCCATGTTTCACCTATACTAAGAGCCATGAAAGCAAATACTGGCCTTCAGGTAACAAACACGAAAAGGCAAAATCCTGCAGATGCTTGAAAAACAGAGTGTATGTGTGTATGTGTATACATGTGTGTCTATGTGTGTGTGTACACATATATATATTTAAAATTGATGTATGTCAGATAGTTAATGTCAGCTTATACATAAGAGAACAGAAAACAAATTTGGATCATAAACTGTCTCATGTTTACTCTCTTCTACTGTTGTAGAAGAATAAAAGAAAAAGATCAGTTTCTAAAATGGTCTCGGAGACATTTATTAATAAATAAATTTGAGTAGTAGAATTATTAAAAAATATGTGAAGTGTAAAAGAGGAAATATTTCCAAGGAAACTGTAAGCTACAACTGAACACAACGGCAGGCCCTGTTCTCTCTATTTGTAGCCTCTGCAGAAACTACTCGGTGATGGTTTTCTTCCTATCTCATTGCAGTTTGTCCATCACAGTAAGTAGGCGAAACCCGTAAGACCAGTCTCTGCATGCTTTTTTCCCAGATTAAATCTAAACTTGCACCATGAAAATCTGGGGCACTCATTCTGCGCAGAAACTCCCCACTCATGTTTTGCCTCGTACCCTGCAGTCTGCCCATCACAGTACAGCAGTCAAAGACGAGACGCTCAATCTTGGCATTCTTTTGCACTAGATTAAACTTAAATTTGTACTATCAAGATCTGGGGCACTCATAGAAGTTTATGCAAAGTAATATTAAGGGGAAAACTATCTCCTCTGCTTTTGAAAGGCTATTTTATGTGCCTCTCCTATAACTGAAGTAGCTGAGTGCAACACAGATGTGTCGTGCATATGGGAAGTCCATTTAGTTAAAATCTTCCTTGTATGAGTCATCAGGAAAAGCTTTTTCCAAACTAAATAAATTACAAGAGGAGCCTATTGATTATCTTGGACAAATGTGGAAGGCATTTAGGTGCCCAGAGATGCAGTTAAACACCTACTTAGGAGTTAAACTGCCACTAGGAACTGTTCCCTCCAACTCTTAATTGTGGTGGGAAAGTCCTCTCTGACACTCACCTGAATTCCAGGATACTTGATTAAAAGTTCCAATCTGCTATTTCCTCTTTGCAATCAGCTGTTTCCAACAGTCCTAAATTCTCCCCTCCCAACCCCATTGCCTCCTATGTTTTTTACAAAAATGATCACACACACGGAGGGCCAAACATGGCAGGCCCCACCTCCCAACTCCCAGCTCCTTATTGGAAGCAATATTTGAAAAAGAGTTGTTGTGTACTGTGTTTTCATCCAGCCTAGGAGCCTGAGGTAGGGGACAGAAGAGAGAGTTAGTGTGAAAACCTCCTGGAAATGCATTCAGTATCCACATGATTGCTATCGAACAAACTTTATTTCTGCTGCTGATTCACATGCAAAATACATCAGAAGTAAAGGAGGCCCTGCAGCAAGTTTGAGTTTGTCCACACTGGAAATCGTATATAGGAGCAGTGGGAAGAGTTTAAAGAATCCTGGGTTAATTTTAATCGTTGGGGTGAGAAGACAGCTGTATGTTTTCAAAACTTTCCCCCTTTACAAGAGAGTGCTGGTATGAGATATGACACCCAAACTGAGGAGATCTTCCTTGCATCTTCTTCAATTTAATAAATCTCCTATATTTACCCTTACAAATGGGACACAGTACCCAAGCTGGCTATAAAAACTCAGTATAGTGGCAGGTTCTATACTCCAGTACAAAAATGCTAATAAGCAAAAATTACAGATTTGTCCCTCCCATCAAGATCATCTTAGCTCGGAAATGCTGGAATTCATTTTTTAAAAAACCCCCACACATGCACTGCTCCTGTATCTCAGAGTCAGGTGGACAGAACCAGGACAGGGCCAAAAGAAAGTAATGAAAACGCTGCATTATGATGAAATGCTGTAATGAAAAAACAGAGAGAATTTAAATTTTTATCCCTCTCACCAGAAAATGAGAGTATGAGGCCCGATAGGCAGCACATTAGTATGGTAGACCCTGGATGATCTTAAATGTGGAAAGAGGAACAAAAAATGACATCATCTTACCTCTACGACTAAGAACTAAGTTTATTTGGTGGGAAATATCTATTTGTAAGTATCCTCCTAAGAGTCTCTACAGGCATTAAATGTCATTGGAAGTATCAAATCTATAATTATTCCAGTAACTTAATACTAAATGCAGCAATGTAGGAAACCATGAACATTGTGCGTGACTCATTTTGCCCTGTGTTTTGCGTTGCTGTATGCTTGGGCACTAACTCAATGGAAGCCATCAAAAAGTTGTTGAAAATATAAGCAGAAAAGTTAATACAGTTGCTCAAATAAAGAGCATTCCCTCAAACACAATTGCCAGATTTAGAGACACAAGAACAGATTCTTTAGTCCCCTCCAAAGTGATGCAGTTGTTTTGCCAATCCTGGAGGGAAGAATTGAAAAAAAACTATGAAGGAGCTAGAGTCAAGGTTTAGGAGGGGCAAGATGTAGAGGGCACTCTAAACAGAAGGTGGGCACTGAGACCATTGTAGGCTATTCCTCCCATTGCATAGATTGACTATAATCTGGAGACATCTGAGCTATGAAAGAGAGAGTCCAAGGACTGAAATGAAATGTGCAAGTGTGGGCTGTAGTTTGTAGATGTGACGATTTTACACCTTATTCAATCTATTTGATACTTCAAAGTATCAAAGCTAAAAGGTCCTTTGTTTTAAAGTATTTCTGTACTCATTTTAGCCAGCTGCTGCCAAAGGGGAAGCCATGTGAGGCCCAATTTGTTTTAGACTAGAGGTCTCTTACTGGTGAAATTGAGAAGCTGGAATCCAGTTTCCAGCTGGTTTCAGAGAACTGCAGGATTTCCTGAGAGCTGAAGAGGTGAAGGGCTGAATCCTCACACTGCTGAGGTGCAGGCAGAGAGAAATACAAAGAGAAAAAGCACAACTGACCTGGTAGCTGTACTACACATACAGCACGTGTACAGAGCACCTCTATACAGCCCTTCACTCAGATTAATTTTCAAGTGCTTTAAACAGTGCATCTGCCAGTACATACCAGTAGATTACAAAGGCTTCACAGCCAGCATTAAACATTTGGTTCAGATTTGGCATTTGTTTCTTCTTTGAACAACCACCTCACAGAAATTTTTTTTACAGTCAAATTTTTTTACAGTCATTTTTTCTGCAGTCCCAGCAGAATTTGCTTTCATAGCACAGTTTTACCAGGATGCTGATAACAGCCTCTTAGCTGGTCAAGCTGGAGCCATGCTTCCAAGAAGGGGAGCCTGCAGCATGCATGCAGCGTGCAGTAATGCATCAGACTCGTGTCCCTGGGTGAAATGCCTTAGAAATTTTGAATTGGTTTGATTCCATGTGTAGTTTTGAAAGTCATTCCCCAAATACCCAGCCAACCTCTTACTTGCTTCAAGCATAAATCAGGCGGAATTTGATACTCCTCTTTGCTTGCTCACTCAAATAAACAAACAAAAAAAAAATCTAAACTGTATTTCCTGGTATGAGACCTCTAAAAATTACCTGAATTAATATGCAACAGATGAGCAGTCAGGCATTGTGTGTTAAAACTTTTCATCGCTATTACTCTTGGGTGTCCCAAAGACACAAACTGTGCTTCCTTGCTCCCTGATCTGGGGAATATGAATAGAACACCTTTGATGCTCCACTGTCTTACAGTCCCAACCGTGCAAATAATCTTTACTATAACACCTCTTACTGGGAATACTTATGTTTAAGTCAGAAGGTCTACTCATGGTAATAACTGCTTGTAAGATGAAGCCTTACAAAGAGCACAAAGAAAGGACCGCAGGTGTTGGTAACACACCTCTTCTTCCTTTCAGCACACACAGAAGGTGATGTTAAACAGTACCACCTT